TTTCCACACCATTAAGCCACGATTGATGGTCAATATCATGTAGAGATTCTTAATGTTTACCTTCTTGCTAGTGTTTCGCACTTTCTTGAATATCAAGTCGGAAAGTTATAAGATTGGGTTAACTGAAGCGCATTTTCGGAGATGCGCTTAAGGAAAATAAAATTTAATAAATATCACTAAAGTTATTCAACCCCCAAATCGATTAAAACAATAGCTCGATTGGTCACTTGGGTATTACATTCCAATCAAATTACATTCTTTGACTCTCCCACATCCAAAAATCTTCAAAAACCAAACAAATACTGATTCTCACACCATAAATCTCTCGAGAATCTCTCATTCATTTCAATGAATTATTTTGGTTGTTGAACATATTCACATGAAGTTCTCGTACTTCTATGTATTTTTAACCGAATTCCATTAGCACTATAATCTATTACCACACCTCCCATGACTCCTTCTACCCTCCCAAACCTAATTTCATCTACCTTCAAACAGCCTTTTTTTTTTGCCTTTTGCTTCTAATGATGTGTGAAGCTTTTCATTTTCGCTCTTACTCACTTTATCTCTTGACTCTAATTTCATTATACGTGCTGCATAATTCCTCCCGTGTGCTTTCGAGCGATGAGCATATGTTAGGATGGTGAATGGCAAAGAAGAGTAAAGTAAGAGGAAAAACACTGAGGAATTGAAACAAAGAGAGAACGCAACATTACTTAACCTTTTTTTATTAATATTCTCTCTTCTTTTTGGAGTCACTATTAAGAACTTTCCCGGATGGACACAGCCAGTTAAAGTCCATTATTGGACAATCATTTAACAGTCTTTTAACTTGTCGAAATGTATACGACATAGAGAACTTTACGTTAACTAGACTTTAACTGGACATTCATGCTAATCAATCAAGTGCTCGAAACTCAAAAATAATTTTCCTTACTTTTTTGACCATATACTTCACAAGCGCCTCCAGAAATCACTTATATAAGGTCCACCAAAATTTGTATGAAACTTTTAAGTAAATATAATTGTTTCACGCGCAAGTGTTCGAGACTCAATTTTTACTAGAGATTTTTCATAAGTGATAGTGTACTTTAATTAATTAATTACACTAATACAATAATAAAATTTTACAAAAGAAAAAAATATGGAGAAAAAGACACGTGTTATTTATTTTATTTCGATTTTTTTGTAACTGGACATTAACTAGACATATTTGCAATTCCTATGTCCAGTTAAATGGAAAGCGCAAAATATGTCATTAGTCGTCCCTAAGTCTAGTTGCAAAGGCACGTCAATGGATACTTACTCGCTGTGAAAAGGCAAGTCAATGGCAAGCTTTTAACTAGCACTTTGTCCACTCGGGTTTGTTAAGTCTTTGAAGTCAATTAAGTGACTAGTTGCAATATGAAAGTTGAATGACGAAATTTTTAAATTTTATGCATCAGGTGGCGCATTTCATAAGCAATGAGTCAATGATTCCAGTTTCAAATGGTTTCACCAATGCCCAAATTGTTATTCAACTAGAATTAACTGCAAGTAATCCATTTTGAAGTTTCTGCATCACAAAAGCTTTCGAATTCCATACCATACCAATTTCAAGGCAAGCACTATTCACTCGACAGACATTGTGATCCAAAACAATCTTTCAATTCCAATAAAAATCAACAATATACCTCTTTGTTCTTCATTTATGCAATTAAACCAACGATATAGATATATACGTGAATGAAGCAGAAGTTAATAGTGCCTTGTAGCAGTTTAAGCATCACAATAAATTAGGTCCGGTCATGTGATTTTATCATTTTGACAGCTTCAATTGAGCTTAGCTTACAGAGAAGCTGTATACGTATACAGTTCTTGAATTAAATGAATGAATGAATGAACGAGAAATGATTGTGCAAATTCCATCAAATATTTACAGACATAACAGCATAAAGTACCGAGCAGAGAATTGAGATGTTAAAGTGAATATCTTTAATAATAAATATTTTTTTCTCCACTCATGAATGATGAAAAGCTTGTTACGAGAAGGTATATCACAACTTTTTGCTTAACTAGACCGAACACAAAAAGCTCTTGTGAAAAGAAAATTGGAAATAAATTAAGGGCCAATAAACATGTTACGCTTTGAAAAAAAATTTTTTTTTCCTTCTCGTTCAAATTATTTTTGTGCATGTAAGCATGATGTGAAGCAAATTTGAAGCTTTCTTCTCCATTCTTGTTCATTCTAATCCCTTTTTAGCTTATTTTTCTCGTTTGAATAATGCGGTTGATTCTTTGTTTAACAATTTACGGTTTTGGTAAGTTTGGTTTGAAAACTGAATGGTTCGAGTGTCAAAACCATGTTAATCATAACTTTAGAGAAGAATAGCTAACAACACTCTTCACTTGACTTACACAAATTCAAAGAAATTATTTTTGCGCTTTAAACAAATCAAAAATAAACCAGAACTTCATTTACTGTTTTCCTCCTTTATCCTTCTATCATGACACAGTCAGCGGCTCTCAGCTTTCATTTCTATCTCCTCACTTTAATTCCTTCAAGCAATTTGCATTTAGATTTAAAGCATTTTCTTTCATCATCAAGCGTATTTTACAATGGATTATCCACGATAAATGATGATGTGAAGCAATAGTTGAAGTTTAACTAAGTGTGATGCCGATTATACACGTGCGAATGAGTGGTAGATGAATTTTTTTTTCTCTTTTTTTTCGTACAGAATGGAAGTCGTTGAATGGTTTCATGTAGCGAGCGTCATGATGTGAATAATTTTCTTTCCCTTCCGATTTCTTTCTGTTCTTCGTGTTTTTTTCACACACTTATCTACTGTTAGTGCACATATGGAGGTGTTTTTGAAGAGATTTTGATGATTCTTTCATCTTAAGTTATGGGTTAAATGTTTGTATGAAGGTTGACAAATTGATCATAAAATTTAAATACTTGTACTTGAAATGCTTTTAGGGGTGGAATTTAAAAGTTGACTGAAGTGATTGCTCATCTTCTTTTAATTTAATTTCTTCTTTATATTTAATATTTTTGTTTGTTTTACAGGTGCTTATAATATTGAAAGATGTTGAAATTTCATGCTTTTAAAGATGAAGCAGCGCTTTGAAAAAAGTTCATTCCAAATCTCAATCAAAGCGACGATTCATTCAAAATTCTTATTAAAGCGCCGCTTTTTAAAACCATCCAAGGAAATTTTCATTCAATAAAAAGAGCCACAAAAAGGTTTGTTTAACAACCCAAGAAATCTTGATCTGCAGCATCGAATTTTTCAATGCTCTGTTCTAATTTTAATTAAAACTTCAGTCATCCACCAAAAATGTAATTACACAATTAACGTTGAGTGTTAAATTATTTGTTTCTTTTTCACAATTTTTCCGTACCGTACTTGTGCTTTCAAGTACAGACGAAATAAACTCAATTTATCAAAAGCAACAAAATTCTATTTTTTTACTCTCAATCAGGAGGGTGTTCAGGGGGACTTAAAGAGTTACAACTCAAAACTTTTTATGGTGGGGCTGAGAAATGAGGTAGTTAAAATTGATTTTGCCGCTTAACTCTAAGAATTTAAGAAATATTCTTGATAAATGGTTCTTAATTAGTGTAATCGGTAAGTTGATCAACTCTAAACTTCATAAAATCTAAAACTGAAGGTTTTATTCAGAAAATCCTACCAGACCCTTAACCTGACTCAAAGAACCCCTAACTCCACCTCTCAAATGTTCAACATCATTTCTCGTTTCCTTTCACTTCTTCACTTAATTCACTAAAATTAAAAAAGTGGATGGAAAATTTTTATTGCAGCTGACTAAGAGCATAAATGATGATGAAGAAGAGAGAGAAAAACTGTATTTTATTTTTTACTTTTATTTACATATTCGCATTTGGATGTTTGCTTTTCATTTTAATTGGATGTGCTAATTTAATTTGCTGTGCATTTTGAGATCCACTCACTTTTTGCATGAAATGTGAAACTTATTGTGCGGCAGAGTTTTTTCAGCTCTTATTTAGTGGTTGTCCTCGAGTGTTGGAGAAGCTTTACAGAGGATTGTTGATCGTAAATTTCTCGGAAATATAAATTGTAGGTAGGAAATTAATTTTGTGAATGAGTTGAAGTAGGTATGGTAGAATTATATTGTTTACTTGTAACTGATATCAGCTTAATGGAGTATGTTACCGTTTTTTTAAAACAAAAATAGAATCAATCATAAAGGATTAGATGCTTATGTTCTCTTTAATATATATTTAGACGTGAGTAAGGTCTTAGTAGATCTTAGTGGGGATAAACTAACTAGGATAAGCAACAAGATTCTTAAATATTGTACATTACATTACCTATTCGACCAGCAAGGCACTTAACTGCTTAATGTACGAGTCAAGCCATAATTGGGCATTTTGGGCAACGTTGGATTAAGGAACGGATCAGGAACTTGAAGTGAAGCGGGAGAAATAGAAACGAGAGCTTCAAGATTACCTTATAATGGAATATTGTCAGAACGGACCTGAAATGTATCACGTCACGCCCACAGAAGATTGAAACGAGAGCCTTAGTTTTTTTGAAACCTAGATTTGAAGATTAGAAGCTTGATTCTACGTCACCCATAGTGATATGAAATGTATCACTAATCAATGTAAAAAGTAAAAACATGTATAAATACTAATTCTTCCGGACGGTAACGTCGACAAATAAAAAATAATAAACATACATAACGAATTCTGATAATCATTTGGATTGAAAAAACTGAGTCACTTTATTTTGACATTATTTTTTGATTTTATTCATAATGCCACTAATATTTTTTTTTTGATTTGCATCCTATACTTCATACAGAGAAGTATTTAACGTATTTAAACTAAACGTGTGATGAACATAAGTCTTTAAATAATTGGCTAAATCGCTTATATGTACCACATTGAATTGAGTTTTCGTTTGATGAAAACATAAAATTGTAATACTTTAAAACGACTCCAGTTTTTTGGTTATATAGTGTCGTTTCTAATTTAATAAAATCCGATAAACATGGAAATGAAGAGACAACGAAAATGATGAAGATGATGATTTTGGATTTTTTATCCCACATGGTGTCTCATTCTTAATATCTTCAAGTAATGTTGCAATCAGATTTGCTGGAATTTTTTGATCACAAGTCTTCAATTCACCAACAACACATTCTTTAAAGTTCTTGAAATCTGTGCAATTTAGTTGAGATACAATTAAATTAATATCTTCAAATGTCTCAGGGAATTTAGACAAGATTTTCCCATAATTTTGTTCTACGCAAGTCTCCAGTTGATTCTGTTTTTGTGAAGCACATTCAATAGTCATTGAAATTGTAGTTTGATTCAAATTTTGACAAGCAAATTCTGCCATACTTTCAGATAACCGATTTAATGTCTTCTGGTTTGATTGTTCATTTTCAGTAAGGCATGGAATCAATGCATTTTAAAGTGGTTCAAAACAGCCAAAAGCATTGTCTTTTATGATGCAAAATTGTCCAATAATTGTGTCAAAATTTTCTTCTCCTACTGCCTCATTAAATTCATCTATCATGTTTAAGTTTATTAAACTCTTAACGCATCTCTCCGAAATTGTGGATGCGTTCTGAAAATAAAACATTAAATGAAATAATGTTCAATAATAAAAATTAAGGCATTGAGATTAATTCTGATTATAGTTTACCATAGAATTTTCAAAGGCATTGCCGTTTTTAGTTACTTCAAAGCATTTTTGTTCGTAAATTCCCATATTTTCACGTTTGAAAAATTTCAAATTGAGCTTTTTTGCTGATAAATCAAGTGCTAAAAAATATGAAATGTTTGATAGAGATTTAAGTGTAATTAGCTGAGGGTTAGACATAATCAATACAAGAGCTGGAAGCAGCATAAAACTCAAGACAGAATGGTTTTAGAGACCAAATAGACTCACCAAGATTCATACGAATGCACAAAATTGCAACAAATAAATACAAATATTTTAACTGATACATCACTTAGAAATTTTCAGATTTTAATTTAATACAAACAACTTGTTCACCAGATGTAGGGTTACCATCTAATTTTCATGAAAATACAGGACTTTTGGTAAATTTTTTCGAAAAATACAGGACATAGAGTAAAATTCGAAAATTAACGGAAATTTTCGTGAAAAAAATACAGGACCTGGAACAAAGTTTTCAAATTTATACAGGACAGGGTTTTGAAATACAGGGCTGTCCGTTGTAAAACTACGCAGATGGTCACCCTAACCAGATGTAATTCAAGAATAATATCATGTATTAATAAAATTTTCAGCTCCTTTATATACAAAAAAAATTGTGAACGACCAAGTCTTAAATTTGCAAGAGAAAACATTTTCGACGATTCCACCTTTGAATGTCTAAACCCAAATTTGCTTAAAATGTAATACATTGATGACTAATTTGTTCTATAGAAATAAATGTAATACTTTTAAATTTTCAAATTGTAAGCAATTGTGAAGTATAACTCTAAATTGACACACATTTCTATTTAATGATCATTTAAATGAACTCATAAATAAGCACAAGATGAGTAAATTTACAGACAATAACGGAAATTCTGATGACGATTTCGTGTTCGGATTCCTGCATATTGTCTCTTTTTTGACATATTTAAATAATGCTTCAGCAAGATTCGCTGAAGTACTTTCTTCACATCCTTCCAATTCACCAATGACGCAGTCCTCAAACTTTTTTAAATCTATGCAATTTTCTTGTGAAATTGTGAATTCAATATCTTCAACTGCTGGCAGCTCATTTGTGATTAATTTTCCGTACGTCTGATTGAAGCAAGTCAATAAATGATTCTTCTTTAAATCAATACATTCAGGACCTCGCTCAGCTATAAAAAGAGCAATTTGATTTCCATTGTGATGACACACAAATTCTAGCAATCTTCTAATCATCCCAACAGCTGCGTTTTTGTGAGATTTTTCATCATTTGTGAGGCATGGATCTGTTGCATTTGATAATGCTTCAAGGCAAATCAAAGCTGGCTCTCGTTTACTGCAATATTTTCCAAAAACGATGTCCAAGTTTCCTGTTGGCTTTGCCTTTTCAATTTCGTCTCCAATGTTGCTAAAATCGACAGTATTTTGGATGCATTCACTGAATGTGGAGGTTGCGTTCTAGAAAATTAAGGAATAATTAAAATTTCAAAGCTTTAAAGCTCCTTTTCTATATTACATATGCTTCATCATAGGCACTGTCATTTCTAGAAACTTCAAAACATTTTTGTTTGAGCAAATCAGTCACTTTTTTGATTGCATCTTCAATTTTTGAATTGTTCAGTTCGGGCAACAAGACACCTTCAGGCAGGTACAATTTTATTGTGTCTTGTATTTCATTTAAACCAGGAACTGCATAACTTGCTAAATAATGAAATAAAGAAATATTAAAATTATTCTGAAGTGCCTTACTTTAATAAAATGCGCATTTTTGTAATTGAATAATGTGATTCATTTGTGTAAATTATTAATTTTTTGATCTGGTGGAAAGTTTAAAAAATCGTCAATCAAAAAAATTTGACTTTTATTTTAATTTCTTTTCCCACTTTCTTTTTGTGTTTATCAAAATTTTAGATCTCTTCCCTTTTGTGGCACATGCAATTATTCTTAAATTTATGATCTACAAATGAAGTCTAGTCAATCGATAATTGAAAAAAAATCCCATAAATTGATTTTTCAACAATTAAAATATTTTAAATTTTTATTATGATCAACTAATGCTTACCAAGAATTTGAGGAGTGTAAAGAGTTGCGAGAAATAGACATATAAAATTAAACTGAACCATCACTTTTGCAATAAAATTCCAACTTAATGTAGTTCACTTATCGATAGTAAAACAAGTAATGACTGAATTTTAATTACTGCTAATTTGAAGTTCTTACTTTTGTTTTAAGTAAATACGAAAATGAACTTCTATGTGAATTGACGGTAGTGAATGGTTTTTAATAAGCATTTATTAAGAAAATCATAAAAAGATGTCGTTAATAAATGACGATATATTTTTCTGGAGTTTTTTTAAATTTTCATTCATTTGTGAACAACACTTAATTTCAATATTCAAGTTTAGTTTTATATTGAATCCCTGACCTTACTGATTACAATATTTTTTTACATTTTTTTACTTGATAATGAAAACGCAATCAAGTGAACCAGCAAATGTTTTTGTTTTTTGCGTTGACCTTTAGCCAATCGTTTACAAATGACGTAAATATGAGTAAAAACTTATGCAGCCATAAGTTCCAAAAAAAAAGTATTTTCTTAAAAAGCTTTCTCACTCATAAATTTCCCCCTAATAAATTCTGTTTCCCTCAAAAAACCTCGCTGACATAAAATGCAGAAGATGCTCTCGATTTAGTAAGAAAAATAATTGAGGAAATTTTTATAGCCTAATCCTTTCTTTTTCAAAAAAAGGGATGGATTTATTTCGAAATATTCATGCATCCTCTTCATCATAAAAGACTGAGCACATTAAAGATCCTTCATCATAAATAAAACCAAAGGCACAAAACAATCTTGAGGGTAAAGAAGGAATTTTTTATTCAGTCTCTGCATTCATAAATTCCAACAATTTCTTTTCCTTTTTCCTGTCCTCGACAAAAGTCATGAAAACTGCGTCACATACTAAAAAAATGATAAAATGACATTTTGAGACCTTCAATAAAAGGAAGTATGCAGCATTTTGAAAGGAAAAAAGGACGAGATCATAAAATTAGTAAGATTTTATTTATGCAACGCAATTTTTAAGGATTCTTCATCAAAATAATGAAACCAGGAATGAAACTTAATTAATGTCTTATATAAAGCAATGTGTGACATAATCATTTCCTCTACTTTTCTGTTCAACATGAGCATTTATAACATAATATAAGTAAGAGGGCTTAAAACACGGGAACCCTGGATTTAAATTCAAAAATGCAAACAAGACAATCTGCTGAATTTCATTCACTTTCACCCACAAAATCCTAATAAGTAAATTCCTCCAAAAACTGCCAACAAAGCTCGATTCATTCTCATAACCTCTTTTGCTATTTTTTAAAAATTGTCTACACTGCATTGGGCATATAATCATCATTACGAAGCTAAAAAGGTACAAAACTTTAATCCAATATTCCATGTACATGCTCATACAAAGACATGTCATGTACCTAATCTTATTACCTGATTTAAAATGAAGGGCATCATTTCATGCTCATACGAAATATGCCTTCAAGTACAATTGACAAGAAGCTACAAAGAAAAACAACTACAATGATGATGAAACATCCTCTTATTTCCCTTAACATGCTTTTCTACAGTCGATTTTTGTTGCTAACCTTTTTTCTTGAGCTACCTTTTTATTTAGCGTCATTTTGCTCTTTCTTTGCTGCGCTGTGTGTGGGATAAGTTGGAAATTAAGTTGAGTCAGAAGTGCATTTTTCGATCTAATGATGAATTGGCATGCTATACAAGGTTTACCATGATCATCCCCTTCACATAGTCATCACAAGATTCTCTTTCCAAACTGAATCAAAATTCAACGCATTTCTTACAAATCTCAGCTCCATAAAAGCTCAATTGTACATCCAAAAGGGAAAAAACGTTCTTTTTTTTCTTCAGTTCAATTCATGTTGTGAGAGAGCAAAAAATGTGAATTTTATGTTAAAAAAATTTCGTACATTTTGTTTCCCATGAGAACACCTAGCATTAGCTCTTTAGCTGAGAATGAATAGGAATTTTCATCAGGTATGTTTACCTTCATGTAAGTGTTACTAAATTTGTATACTTTTGGTTGACAAGAGATCATCAAATGTCGGTACTTTTACCACTTTGCACTGTTATAGGCTTTTTTCTAAGGAAAGCATCTTGAATTTTTGATGATGTGTTGAAGTTTTGAGGACTTTTTTGTGGGATTGACATTAAGTTGGTGTGAATATTCGGTGAATTTTAAGAATAGGGTTATTTTTGTATTTTTGGGGATTATTCAGACTAAGTTTGCATCGTTCAGTGCATAATAAAAATTCAAAGTTAAATTTTGTGATGCATCTTAACAGTCAAAGACAGTTAATGGATAAAGCCTGCGAAAACTTGACTTTTAAATCCAACATACATCGAGATTTTAATCAAAAAATTAATTTCGTCAGTAAAATCGATCAAATCAAAGCCTCAAAAAATCGACGATAAAAATAGACGCAAAAAATGCTCATACACATGTCCTCAAAATAGCCAACAATTCAACTAATTGATATCAATGACAAATTCTATTTCCATCAATGACGGAAAGGCTATGAAAGCACAATTATGTTCATTTATAGCTTCAATAGCATTTCCACACAAAAAATAACTCTAGTCTCACAAAAAAAGCCATTCTGCCTAAGGCTCCAAAAATAATCCAATTGCAGCCACATTTATTGTTAATTCTGTTTTTGACACAAAGCTTTTACCACAGAAATAACATGCTACACTTGGAATATAAGAATCAGTAAGCAATGTCAAAATTGTGACATTTAAGAAATTATTTCCATCTTCAACAATGTCGTTTCCTGCCGTTTCACAGCAACGATTTTTTTATGCTCACTTTTTTGTACTAAGATTTAAAATAACTTTTCTAACATGCTTAATAGATTGTCATTGTTCACGTCAGATAAAGAGATGCTGATGTGTGTAAAAGTTATGGAAGGTTGACTTTTTAGCGCATTTTTTATATTAAATGGCTACTCAGGGGATCCTATGCAATTTACAATAAGAATGAAGCCCAAAAAATTGTGTTTGTACTTCCAGTAAGTTAGTCAAAATAATCACAAAAGCCATCAAAATGTTTTAAAAGCTTTTTTTTTCTCAATCTACAAAAAAAAAAATCTTGTCATGTGCAACTTTTACATCACAGCATTTTCAATCTCGGTTGAGAACGACGTGTATCATTCTTTTTTTTTTGTTCATGTGCACGAGAACGAAGGTAACAGCAAAAAAGAAGAGAAGAGAAAATTTAGGCGATTCACTTTAGAGTGTATATGCACGTCATCATTGAATAAAGAAGATGTTCACATTCACATATCAAGTAAGAGAGGAAACAAAAATGTCTATATGACATAATGGGTCTATTTCTCGTACCTCAGAGCCATCCGAGCAGCATCAGAACCAACAAAATCAACAATAGGTAATATGTATGTTGAGATAAGGAGCTCATTCAATTGAATTAAGTTAACAGGACATGAAAATGAAATGAAGACATGGATGGATGGATGAATATGTAAAAGGAAACGAGGCATCGAGATGATGTAGCCCAAAAAAAAAAGTTCGGTAGAAAGGAAAAAAGCAATTTACAAGGTGACGACAACACGTATATGATGTGAGAATGATTGTGTAAATGGAACATGTACACAATTTCTGCTGGGCATGTGACGATGAGATTGTAGAAATTTCTCTAAAATTGGAATTGATTTAGGGATGAGCTAGAGATTGTTGGTAAGTTTTAGTTTGTGATTGATAATAAATTGCATTTCTTCTTTTTTTGTGGGATAATGTAATTATTCAATGTCAAAAATGAGAATTTTAAAGTAAAATTGAATCGATGCACAACAACTTAGCTAGACACATTAATGCATATATTTTCTTTCAAAATTGCAAGTGATCTACAGTTGTAAATGCATCTCATTAAATGCAAATCAGATTACTAATCATGATCTGGAATCATTTAAGAGCTCTTATTATACATCAAGGTACTATTAACCTTCCTGTAAGCTACAAACCTCTTCATTACTCAAAAAGCAATCTCGTCAACACAAGGCAAGATGAATCAAATTGCCTTGATTTAATTATTTCTAGCCTTACCCGAACGCTTTTCCATTTCTTCTTACTGTCACATTACAGCATCTTCATCCAAGAACTTTCATTAAAATTTTGTGGCTCATTCATGTGGAAAAGTACGAGACAGTTTTGGGAGTCTTAAGTTCTCATCTATTCTGCATTATTACCGTCACATTCAAATGTTTGCATAGGATTGTCGAGCATTTTGTAATTAAATTAACCACTATCGCCTACTTAGTGTCAGAATCAACAGAGAATTTATGTAATTTGACAGTGCATTATTCCGATGTTGGAGATGTAGGAGTAAATTGGTCTTAATTAAATTTGCTAGTGCTTATTGGTGAGATTACGAATAAATTTATTAGGCAATAGTTAAGTTGTGAACTTAAAGGTTGTTCACTCATTTACGATATAATATATATTACTTAAAAAGCTAGTTAAAGAGCAAAGCTAAACAACCTACTTCTAGTAATCAATTCTAAGAAGTCAATTAAGAAATAAATTCTGTTTTTTTATACAAAAATCACTCAAAGTTCATATCAAACACGTACATGTACTTGATGCTGTGATTTATTTATCTTTTCATACCCTTTATGGAAGCTTGGATAGTAATGTAGATCTACAACATTTCACCCAAAGTAAAATACATCGGAAATGCCTAGATTCTACCTGTCGTTCATAGACACGTGTTGGAAATTACTTCACTCACTCTACCATCATCAAATGAGTTAAGATGAAAACTGGTAATAGAGAAATGTTAAGTACATTGATATTGTATACATGTCACGTCAGTCTACATCCAAAAACCAAACAAGTGCTTTTGATTTAAAGAAAAATTTTGTTATGACAAAATATTATGATTGATTTCCAGCTCTGACAATTCACGTTCGGAATATTCATTAGAGTTTAGTCTCGAAAATTTGGTTCCTACTTGGTTGAAGTTTGATCTGCAATACTGTTTCCGCAAAATCAGACTTAAAGATCTACTTACAAGAGCTTCTGTAGGTTTCCTTAAAACATGTATTGTCCATCGTACCTTTTCAACTTTAATGCCATCTTCACA